AGCTTTTGAAATCAAACCAATTATTTCATTGCCCTGTTTATCCAATCAGTTGAACGGCCAATTGTGCCGCAAAGATATCAAACTTGGCGACCGTCTGTCAGAGTGGTTGAGCTACATATGTACAGAAAAGCTTTTAGACCATTTGCTTATTATTAAAGGAATTATGCTTAGTGGTTTTTAATGCATTTTCTATAGAATAGCCAGTTTGTGACAGAAGCATCTGCTCTTATTTTTTTAAAGATTTATGGAGCAACTTGTTTTCAGCAGCCGTGAATGACAAATCGAAATTTCTCTGTGCAACAACTCGGCAAGGGTTTACATTAAGTTCGGGAAACCATTAAGAACATGTTCAAGTATGTTGAGATTAACAATCACATGATTATTAATCTCTAGTTTAGAATAAGTTAGTTTACAAACAGAATTGAGTCTGTTTAATACAATGTTTTGCAGTTAATTTACTAAACTGAAATTATAAATTTAGAGGAATTAAGTTTTATGTCAAAATAGACAGATTGGAAATATTCTCCAACTCTAAAAACCTAAAATTTCCCTTTCCCTGATCAATTCCAAGTTTAGTGAATAATCTAATTTATTTGAATTTTAAATCAATGAGATTTATTTTTTTTTATACAAGTTTTTTTCCCTAGAATGAAGTGGTCTGGATGCAGTAGCCCTGTAGTTTAAGCAAATTAACATTAACCAATATATTTTACCTTGAGATGTTAATGCCACCTACCATCGGTCTTCAAGACAACCACTAGAGTTGCTTCCTCTGGAACAAATGAGTGAATTTGGTCATGTGATATTTAACATCCATGAGGACTTCAAACGTCTTTAAAAGCAGCTCATAGGAAAGCATTGCATTCAAAGCTTTCCTATGAAAATTATTTGAATGTACTTACAGCACTCGCTGTGCTTGGACATCACGTTCTCAATGCTCCTCTATGTAGAGCATTGGATTGGTCTATCGCCGAAAGAGTGTTGTCACAGGAGTCTGAGTGAGCAGCAGCACAGAAAGAGACCCAAGGTAAGTTTAAAATAAATGTATATCTTTGGTTCTTTGTTTTTTGTTTTACATTTTTTATTACCGATGGGGGGCCTCTGATCCAAATAGGAATTAGGGCATTATAGTTTAGGAATACAGGTTTGTGTTACAGATGCTATACTGTTTAATGTATTTTAAGGTCATAAAACATGTTAGGAAATTTATAAAGGTTCTGTGAATGTTTCCAATTTTTACCAAGCTGATTTTATCAGTTATGTCAGATGTAGCAACTTAGCATCTACATTTATAGACAAAGTCTCACATGTAAAATCATGTTAGAATTATTTTTGTCACTGTGGTTAGGTTTGGAGAAAGTTACTATTTAAATCAGATACATGGTGACCAGGGACAGAGTAAGACTAAGAACAGTAAGAAATGAGTTTGCTATTCATTGCGAGGGGAAACATTTAGCCCCTCAGGGTTTCTGGCAACACATTTTTGCAATCTAGTAATTTCCAACTACAATCTATAGTATCAGAGGCACTACTTCTGCACTCCCTGTTTTATGTTATTCAGGTTGCAATTTTATTAAAATAACGTTTGGTGGTTTAAAGCATACAATTAAAAGTTTGAAATTAACTATTGTTTGTCCTTTGCCGTCTCATACAATTCTCTTTAGTTCAATTTTTGACCTAAAATGTAGCCCTCATGAAAATTTTAAAACGTTTGGCTATTAGGAGACTTTTTAGCTTTCTGTCATTTTACAAACAATCATAAGTGAAAACCGTATCTGGAGCGGAGTGATCATCCTTGAGTGTCTTATAAAAAGCAGGTATTTTTGTTCCATAATCTCACAGAATTAAAGTATATTAATGGGCATGTTGATGCAGAGTGTGAAGAACCAAAGACTTCTATTCTAATAGGCCCAGCTGATAAACTTAGAACAACCAAATTGTACATTCATTAAATTTGTTTGGTTATTATTCATTATATGTTGTCACATTTGTTAGAGAATTAAATGTTTTAATTTTGTATTGCGTTCGCTTTTTATTTAGCTACAAGTCATTGACTTCTTGTACACCTATTTATAATCACACATTTTGAACCCATAACAAAAAGTGTATATATGTGTGTGTGTGTGTATATATATATATATATATATATATATATATATATATATATATATATACACACACACACATAAAAGTAGCATTCATTTCATGTGAAATTGTGAATTGAAATGCTAAATATTGATTGTTACTCGAAGACAGGAGGAAGCTGAATAGGTTTTTCTAACTTGGCTATTTTGTCTTAAAAGGAAATGTATCACTTTGAGACAAGTGTCTCATTCAAAAGCTTTAGATTTAAAAGACACTGTTGCCTTACTTTGCAGGCTGAAAAAAGCAGGTAAATATAAAAAAACATTTACCTATGTATTCTTTCTTATGCTTTCCACACCCACTCAGGGAGGAAACTGATCTAACCAATAAATGTCCCATCCTTGGGAATGCTGGAAAAGTATATTAGGCATGCCTGACACATTTACACATGTGCAGTTGGAAGATCTTTTCACCTTGCAACATCTTGACAGGGGGAGAAAAGAGCGAGTCACACAGATACAAACCACGATATGCATAAAGAGACACATGCAGGTCAAAATGTAAGCCACCCTCCAGTTTCCTACCTTTTGGGTAAAGGATGGTGGCTTCTGATGGCTGGATTTGTTGGGAGTTAGACTCTCACTTCCACCCAGTGCTGCAATATTACAGGTGCCCAGCCGCGCTGTTAAAGCACTGCAGAGTATGACCTGGCCGCTGATGACACATGTCCATCAATGAGCCCCCTCACATTGCGGGTCCCAGTGAAGCTGCACCTAAAGTAGTTCTGCCGCTGTATCTGGGTCTTTCCAGCTTATCATGGGGTTCTCCATTGTTTTTTTTCCTTGCCACCTGCCCCAATGGCAATTACAAAGAAAAATAAAACCATCCAGGTCATGTTAGTGACAAAAGGTGTGCCCCAGATAAACTAAACAAAGAGGTTGGGTTGAACAGGCACATAGTAATGTGGGGTCGATAGGGTCACCAGAAGCAAAAAAGGGTGTAGGATAATTACAACTGCTTAACTAGATTGTCAAGCGGAGCAACTTGCTAAATGGCTAATGGGTTATTTTTCCTAACCTGAAGAAACTAAATGTATGAAAACAATCTAGGTGCCATTAATCACAGAGGAATACTGCAGTATGTACAGTAATTGCACCTGCTCTACATGTTTATGGGGGGGAAAAATAGGGAAAGTCAATCTGAAGACTATTTGGAGTGTTTTGTTTTTTCTTAAACTTTATAAATTCAAGAATTTCTTTCTGAGCAGGCTCTTATAGGGTGTACTAGAGATCAGATGGTATGCTATTTTTAGAGGTTTCATACATTTCAGAAAATAGCAAACAGTGACATTTTACCTCTGCATTGCCCAATATACTGCTTTGTTCTCTATATTTTTACCTATGAAATGCTCAGATATAAACATATCTATATAGAAGACAAAGAAAAACATGGTTTCTATTTAATTTCCTCATGCCCCTGTCACTCACTGCCCCTTCACCCCCCTTCTACCCTGTCTCACTGCCCCTCTAGAAGGGGGGCTTCTACCCCCTGTCACTCACTGCTCCTCCACCCCCACCCTACCCCCTGTCACTCACTGCTCCTCCACCCCCACCCTACCGCCTGTCACTGCTCCTCCACCCCCACCCTACAGCTTCTGTCACTGCCTCCCACTCCCACTCCTACACTGCCCCTCCACTCCCCACCCTACCGCTTGTCACTGCCCTCCACTTCCCACTCCACCCTTGTCACTGCTCCCTCCACTCCCACCGCTGTCCCACTGCACTACTCCCACACCCACTGCCCCTACCGCTTGTCACTGCCTGCCTGTCACTGCTCCCTCCACCCTACCTTGTCACTGCCCCTCTACCCAGCCTGTCCTGTCGCCTGTCACTGCCCTCTACCCACCCTACCGCCTGTCACTGCCCCCTCTACCCACCCTACTTGTCACTGCCCCTCTACCCACCCTACCTGCACTGCCTCTACTCCCCTTCCCTCCTCCATGCCCCCTAAACCCTGTCACACTATCCCTCTACCCCATGTCCCTGCCCCCTCCACCCCCCCTTACCCCATGTCCCTGCCCCTCCACCCCCCTTACCCCATGTCCCTGCCCTCCACCCCCCTTACTCCCATGTCCCTGCCCCTCCACCCCCTTACCCCATGTCCCCTGCCCCCTCCACCCCTTACCCCATGTCCCTGCCCTCCTCCACCCCACCCCATGTCCCTGCCCCCACCCCACCCCATGTCCCTGCCCCTCCACCCCCTCCCCATGTCCTGCCTCCACCCCACCCCCCTGCCCTCCACTTGTCCCTGCTCCTACCCGTCACACCCCATGTCCCTGCTCCTCCACCCCCTTACCCCATGTCCCTGCTCCTTCACCCACAGCCACTCCACCCCTCACCCTGTCACATCCCCCCTCCACACACCCTGTCACCCCCACGCACACGGTCACCATTCCCAAACAAGATAGGCGATTTGGAAAACGTGTGCAACTAAGTTACAGTTAACTTGAATTTGTATAATTTTATATCAATTATCAAGACACTTTAGCAAATTTAGCCTAAACCGTCCTGTTTTTAATTCACTACAGTTTGGTGTTTAGCAAATCAAATCATTTGTACGTTTTGTTTTTTTCCCTTGCGAGAAAACTGGCTGGAGTGCTGGCCCACGTTCCCCTATGGGTGAGTTAAGTTAGTACAGTGCCCCTTAAATGTTTGAGAGAATATACTGTGACAATTTTTATTTTTGATTTCCAGCTGTTTTGATAGGTGATATTGAACTGGTCTAGTCTATCAGCAAACTACGGTGCCACACCAGACCTGTAGCCTTAGCTTGGTATATTCTAACTAGAACAGTTCATAGGGCCAACCTTGGAAACAATCACACTACATATATCTCAAAGAAGCGCAGAAACAAAATACTTTAAAACGGTTTTAATAGTGTACAGTTCACAATATTTTTTATCACATTCACACAAGCAGATTCCCCCAATGATTAACAGTGCCTTTGGAATTCAAGCAAATGAAAACATTTGACTTTGTACCAGGTCCTGGTTTTGGTGCATTATAAAATGAAAATACATAACGATGTGCACAGCAGCCTGTAACATTATTATTACAAAACACTGACTCCACGTATAAATGTTAATAAAATGACTGATTGAAACAAATCTGTGCTATATTACAGTACACTGCTTCAGTCTAATGGCAACGTTACCTGAAAAGGAACACGATTATCAATATAAACTTCTAGGAAAATTCTGAGGTATCTTTTTCAATATTTTGAAACACATTTGCTCCACAAAGTAGTAAGGCAATACGTGTTTTTTTGTTTTGTTTTTAATAACCAGATGAGCTGCCAGAGTATATGCAATAAAAAGCAGGGTATGTACCTACTTTTACACCGGGCAGGTAGCAGTGTATTCATTTAATTTTGGTTTAGAATGACATTATGGGAAACTAGAAAGTGAAATAATGTCAATGTACCATAATCACTATCAACGAATGTAGTGGTTGTGGGCCAACCCCCATATGTGACACAAAAGACACCTGAAAGTCCTGGTGTCACCTATATTCCACTTTGTGGCACAAAACTATTCAAGTGCAATAGAATCTATGAGTTATAATGCAGCTTGTAACATTACACACAGTTTTGATCCATTATACTTGTTGATGAACAAATGGTTCATCACAGATACTAAATAAATGCGTATATGGGATTAGAGGGACCTGCAGATCATACATTCTAAGAAAAACAGAAAGTTCAACCAAATACAAAAAAACAAAATAGACATTCGAGAATCCCAATGAATTGGGGGGAAAATAAAAACAAACAAAAGGGCTTAGACAGAACTTTAGCCCATGTTTCTAAAGGTCCAGAGATAAACACCCCATAGCATGATATGCACAGTATGTGATCTCAGCCACAGAGTAAGGATTTCCTTAAAATAAACTAGTAACTACAGGTAGGCAACTACAAGTAATGATCGGAGAATTCCAAGGTCTTTAAATCTTATGGTTTTGCAATGTACGCTATAAAATCATGCCTCGTGTTCTTCAGGAGTATTAGATGTTCTGATTTAAATACACCATCTGCAGCATCCCAATGCCAGAATATCTTCCATGTCAAATATTGACAACTTAATGACTAATTACTGTGCGCTATTAATGCGCAGTAATAGCAAATATAGTGGAGATGCATGATAAACTACAGTTTCAGACTGTAAAGTTGTACATTGAAAAAAGAACAAAAAAAAAATCCTTCAACATCTCCCAGCAGTTAATACTTGAGCAAAGTAGATCACATACACTCAGACTAAAAAAAATAGTCATTACCAGTGAATGGTTCTATACAGCGAATCTCTCGATGTTAACTACAATTTGTACAATATATACAGCAATACAGTACAAAACAGGCCTTATCCAGACTGAATTAGCATTCCAGAAAAAGTGCTAAAAGCCAGAATCCGGGCTTATAAATAAAGCTGAAAAAGCAAACGCCAGAAACACAATACCGCCGATGATTGTCACTGAAAAACACAAAAAAGGTTATTACTCAGATGCAATACGTAAAATCTGTCCTTGCCAGCACACACAAAAATCTTATAGTCACAGTTATCCACACTTTCTACATTTGAGAACATAAATGACCTTTGTCACATTAAAATTTCACATTAACATAAAACTATTTAATAGATTATGTACATTAGTTTATTCAAGAACCAGTGAACATTAAAACAGAATTTCTGCCAACCTAACCTCCCATAAATAGCAACAGGAGGATAAATGGCCCTATATGTAACATGTTCAACTGGTATCTCCTAAAGACGTTTTCATCACCAGCAATAAAAAAAAAATTTTTTTAAAAATCTAAAAAAACAAAACCGGATATGATCGGTAAACTAGTTTCTTCTGATCAATGCAATATCTAATATCGAAAAACATGATTTGCATGCAAATAAAGATACCATTTGTGACAGTTCTACATTCGGTTTTACTCATATATTTACCTGTTCTAACTGAAATTTTTTGCGCTATCATTCTTCCTCCAATAACTGCTAAACCAGTACAAAGGCAATGTCCGATCGTACCCCCAACAGCAACTCCAAATGGATCCTACAGATCGAGAAAGGTAAAGAACTCCAGAATCACCATACATGAGGTCAACTGGCTGCTACACATGTGCATGCAGTTTGAACATTACAGGTATAGAATGATACATCAAGCAAGTTACATCCCTTAAAAAGGCCCCTCTGGGCACAACTTTTCATCTTAAAGGTTATGGTGTGGAGGAGTGCGTCCCAATGCAATCCAAGGCATACCTACAGTCCAAGCTTTAAATGGGAAGTATCTATCTCAGATCCACTTGCGCACATCCGCTCTCCTCCCATGAAGAGTGCTCAAGTCAATGGCTTTGGAGACTGCTGCATACAGCCCAATGTACAAAACTGTGCATTGGTCTGTGTATAAACTGACAGCCATGTTATGATTGCAAAAATCTTACAAAGCAGGTTCACTCATTCCCTGTGATAAGTAAAACTGTGGATACACTACATATTTTATAAACCTTTACTAGACAAGAGTTTTGTGTGATAATGAACTCCAAAGTCCAGAATGGAAGGCTCCTGATTGGTTGAGCCTCTTTCTCGTGAGGGAGGATACTTCCATCTGCACTTACCTGTGCAAGTGCTGTTGCTCAAGGAAAATAGTTTGTTACTTTTTTGCATTATCTATATTTTGCATAAAACTGTAATTTTGAGCCTTTATTCCTTTAAGATCCACTGCTCAGTTTTCTATAGGTTAACTCAGCGGTTCCCAAACTGTGTGCCGTGGCGCCGCAAGAAATTTCCCCGATGCTATGATCATAGCATCGGGAACCGTGCCTCACTCTCCCCTGCCAGCTCTGCAGGACCGGAGGGGAGATCAGAGATCTCCCTCACCGGTTCGCTAGCAGTGTAATAATGCTGGTAGCAGGCTGGTGACTGAGGACCCAGGGGAGCTCTAACCTGCAGCTCCGCCGGGTTCTCCTCTCGGCAGCTCGGAGCATTGCCGCAGTTACCACGGCAACACTCCGAATCTCGCAAGAGTGAACTCTAGCAGCTCCTGAGGCTGCTAGAGTTCACTCTCACAACTTTGACCACCAGGATTTCTCCACCGGACCACCCTCTCAGGAAAAGGTAAGCAGGGAGGAGGGATATGAAAATTATTATTTATATATTTATGACTTTGCCCCCCCCTCCCCCCACCACACACACTACCCCTCTATACCAACACTGTACCCCTCACACAACCTGTCCCCTCCCCACCACACACACACACACACACACACACACACTACATCCTTCACAAGCACAATGCACCCCTGTAAAACACACACACAGCAGATCCCAGGTAAGTTGTCAAACTGTTTTTAAACAGTTTGACTACTTACCCTGGGAGAGCACTATGGCACTACTGGCACCATTACCACTACAAAGTGATGTAGTGGTTATTGTGCCTGGATTGTTTCTTTAAATAATCTACCAGTGCCCCTCCCAAGATTAGGTTCTGGATCTGCGCCTGAAAGGCAAGCATTTCTGCCTAACAGGGGCCCAGTATATGTCACAGCGCTGTACATATATACAACCTAGAAACATTTTTGACTTGGAGCGCTTTGTAAACATATTGAAATCTTCAGGGCGCCTTAAACTTAAAATGTTTGGGAACCACTGGGTTAACTGCTTTAAAAGGTGTATATACAAGGAATACAAATACTCGACCATATTAAGGATTAAGCATTTTACAGCATACAGGAGCAAGATCTAAAGGACAGCCTGCATCTAAAATTATAAACCCTTTCATATGTAAATTGTTCACTGGCTTTACTAGTTGAAATATATGAATAATTAAAGGTTTTCATAAATATGAAGACAGTTGTGACACATAAAGGGCACGCAATACATAGCTCTTTGTGCACACAAAGAATCATAAAACCATCAATTCTATAAAACGTTGCTGTTATGAAATTATGAAGGGTATAAGCAAATGCAGTAATGTTCATATTGTGATGTACAGCGTTAATAAGGTTTGTAAAAATCTTTCAGTACTCACCTCTCTTGCAGCCAGAACAATTGTTGTGAGTTGAGAGCGATCACCCCACTCTGCTAAGAATGTTAATGTGAAAGCCTGAACAAATATTGGCGATATAAACTGCATCCATCTCTTCTTAGGTGTTGCAGGCCCTCCACCAGCTTCTATGTCCCCAGGTCCATTGAGTAGTTTAGATCTCTGAAGCTTAAGACAAACACAAGAAAATTATAGAAGTTGAAAAGATAAAACAAAGACTATGCTACAGTCATAAGCACAGCTTTTCAGCCCACAAACTTTTGAACTTTTAATTTAGACAATTCAAGACAAAGGAGTGGAGGAGAGAGTTAATCAGTATTGTTTATCTCCTACAAGTGTTATCACAAGGTTGAGTATAACCAAAAACACAAGCTAAGCCAAAGTAAACAAAATAAATTTTAGTAGACTTGAAATGTTTCTGGACCAACTAGCTACTAATCTAACATGAAGCCTATGCTAAAATACTTTCAAAGCATGTCACTTATCACAGAACCTGGCAGTCAGCCTTGCAGTTACCAAGCGACATATATAAAGCACCTTGCACTACTGGAACGGCAATCAAATCCATATAACATTGACTTTAATATAAATTAAAGCCAGCTGCAAAGTAGTGAGACAAAGCAAACACATGTTCCTTACTGTGTGACATTGTAATAAACAGAACTGATTGCCTCTAGTTCTGGAGCACTAAACAAGCTTGTCTAGCATCCACAAAAAAAACAAATGGAGTCAGTCAGAACATGTGATAAAACAGGAAAGTAAATCCTGCCTTGAGTGTTTATTTTGCATTATATATAAGCAAAGAACAGCCAGGTGGATGAATTGTCTTCTTGCTATACATTTGTCACTAGCATAAAACAGTTAAAAATAAATAAATACAGTAACTGAAAATATGAAATATATATGTGGCGAACCATCACTTCTTTGAAAATCACACCATTGAAAAATAAAATATTGAAAAGCACGTCTAACGTGTGTTAACTTTATGTGATTCTCCATTTTATTTAAAAACCCCCCCAAAAAAAAAAAAAAAAAAAAAAACCTAAATGATATCACAATGTAGTTCAACCAAGGCATACATAGGTTAAATTCTTCTCATCTCTGTATGCTTTCTTTATGTTGACTGAAAGGTGCAAAGCACGGTGCTTATAACAGGGAGCCAAGATGGAGTATCCCAGTTGTAGGATTTCTACATTTCATTTTCTCACAAATACATATTAGTTAAACATAGGTGACAAGTAAACATAGTATGAACAATTCAGTGAAGTGACAGTCCCACTTTTAATTACAGCAGAGCCTGGAATGACTGGACCATTTAGCAATATTTGCAAAAACCAACAGAGATATTTTATCACATGTACTGTCTAAGTGCAATAAAACCTCATACAAGCAACCAATACTTTAAAAAACTTACTTCTTCATCTTTTCTTTTGATTTCTGCTTGAACCTCCTCAAGTTCTTCCTGGCCTTCATCAGGACTCATCTTTAAGCCCTCCCGCAGCATTCGAATACCAAATATGGCAAAAAGCGCAGTAGACACATAATATGTATAGACCCTTGGAATGACAGTTGTTGCATACCCAAACAAAACTGAAAGAAGAAACATAAGATATTACTTTGTAACAGGGAAAAAAAATTAGTTTGCTAATGTTCAATAAAGGGATCAGTCACTGCATCAAATCTAAATTACAGAGTGAAACATTTTAATACATTCAGTAGCTAAAAGCCATGGCACTGAGTAACACACAGCACTACTACTTCATAGATACAATGCTTTAAGCAAACCAAACAAAACATATTCATGTATTATTTTATTATTTACATAGCGCCATCAGATTCAGCAGCGCTGTACAAAGGGTCTGTATAATATTGGATTCCGTGAAGCCTCTTTTGTAATAATTTAGTAATTATAATTTTCACAAAAATGGTTAACAAAGCCATATGGGCACATTTATTTGTACAATTGCTTTCCTGGGAATGCGTGGTTTGATTTGTCATACAGTTCAGTATGACAAACAAGTTTGGGTGTGTTTAATTAATGCCAATGTACCGTGATTCTATATTGAAAGAAAGTCTGAGAAGAGCTTAAGGTGCATGTCAACCAAGAAAACAAATTACATTTGCTCACATGCTTCATGGGTGTATCATGCAATGTTCTGGTCTTGTACAATCGATGAGACTGCTATTCAAGCAGCCATTAAATGGCCAGCATTCAATAATTATATATATATATATATATATATATATATATATATATATATATATATATATATATATATCCCTTTACTGCAACAATCTATTGGTCGGAAACTAGGCAGGTTCATTAAATGGGAAGAGAAAAAATTAAAATTGGACCAGTGTTATTCAAACTGGTTTACACTCATAGCGTTAAGAAAATGACTAATCACCTGATAGACAGGTCATTAGACCCAAGGCAAGCATAGCTCCTGCAAGTACGGTGAGGCGGTTATATCTCATAGCCATTATGGCAGCAATAAAAAAGGTCTTATCTCCCAACTCTGAAACGATGATCACAGATATAGCAGCCACGAATGCATGGATGAATCCCAAGTTACCAGCCATGGAAACCTCATCATTGACAGCTTGTATTGCAGGAGTGGGCATCTTCTGTGGGATTTAAAAATAAATAACAGCTTAATGCATTACTACGTCAGTGACAAATCAACATGCACTGACAAAAGCATTTCACTACCCATTTTATAAAAATAAAGACATTTCTAATGATTAAATAAAAAATAAAAAACATTTAAAAAAAATGCACATTCCAGAGAAAAGCACATATTGCAACAACATGCTACTGACAAATAAAAAGATGTTTTAATAAAACATGCACATCCTTGGCAACATCAAATTCTGGATTCAAACATTTTTACACTCCGATGTTTGAGTGTAAAAATTAAAAAAAAAAAAAAAAAAAGCAGAGAAATGCCAGTGAATCCGTCTTCCACGGACATACAGACGATTGGTTCACGTCAAACACAGTACAACACTTAATAAATGGGGGAACGTCAATTCACAAGAAATGTATAAGCCACGTGTTTTTTTTAATTGGAAGTTTGAATCTAGGTTTCTGCTGCAGGTTGGGGACAGGGTCCTCATCTACCCATTGTTTCTGTATCATTTTGTTAATGTCTCCTATTGTGTTAAATTTCCCTCCTTTCATAATATTATAAAGTGCTGCGGAATAAGTTGGCGCTATATAAATACTACTACTACTACTACTACTACTAATACACACTAGGCATTGTGGGAACACACGGAAATACACAGCAACTACAGTCTTTATAACCGAGTCTCTCTATGCCAACTGCATATTTGGTAAGCACCGTGGATAGATTTACATTTAGTACGCATGTGATAACTACACGTGAGCCAATACATTTGCTGTTAATGGGGTTTCAAGCACATATGTCGACAATTGTTCAAGGCTCATTTCCTTCATTAATCAAATCACTTACGACCGGTAAAAGAGTACAGAGAAACCGTCAAATATTAAGCAAATATTGACCTTATCTAGCATGGCAACTGGATATGAAACCCAATAAACACTGAAAAGTATATAGAAGTTATGCCTACCCGGTGTCCCAGAATTATACTGAAAAGCCTTCTTTCATCGCTAAACATGGCATCATCACTTATGGGTTAGCTCCTGCCAGCTATCAGGACAGACATAGTTAATAAAACCCTCTATCATCTGAACCCCCGAGTCTTTTCCTGCCCTAGATTACAGGCAGGGATGTTTCAGGTCCTGTTATATTTTTATTTTCTGGGCATGCTACCATGTTTAACATGGTTCTTCCATGGGGAGTTCAGCCTCTCTCCCCCTAAAGAAACCAATAAAGAACCTGCAGTGGCAGCACTAACTGGTTTGTGTTTCTTAATATATATTAACGTGGGAATTCTCTATGAATAGTGACTTTTAGCAGCATGGACTCAGAGTTTCAGTTTATCCTCTGAAGTAAGGGGAAGTGTGGGAAACCATCCATCTTCTCTGCTATTTTCTGATGCTCTCTGATGTTGCATTTAAGCCTATTATTTTGTTTATGATAGGGATCAATCATCTGTCTGGCAGATATTCTGTATTTTCAGCAATATCGGTATCGGCCAATAAAGATGCCGATAATGCATACCAGGGCCGCCATCAGGGTCATGGGGATCCCAGCACACTCTTACTTCCATTCCCAGTAGCCCTCTGTCTAACTCTCACGAGTTCCGCGGCTGTGACAGCGTTGTTAGACAGGGGAGCTGAAGGGAGCTGCTGGGAAGGTTAGTAAGAGTGTGCTGGGCCACCGTGGGCCCCCCAGGGAATGCCATATCCCTCTTTCTGGCCAGGTAAGAAGCAGGGAGGGGGAACTAAAACAAAATGTAAAAAAAATATATATAAGTTAAAGAAGCCCCCCCCATTTTACACACATTACATACCTACACAAATACACACACTGCATCCACTATACACACACACTACACATTGCATCCACTACACAAACATAGACTGCATTTACTATACACACTGCATCCACTACATAAACACACACATACTACATCCACTAATCAAATACTCTCACTACATCCACTACACACATATTCTTGAAAACATTCTGACTGGCACGTATATTTTGAACAACAACAACAACAACAACAACAACAACAACAACAACCATAAAAATTGCCAAAATAAATAAAAACAAGCATAGATAGAGTTGTATTTACTGGTATTTATTTATTTTTTTAAATGGTAAATTTACAGAATATCAGTATCAGTAAGTTATCACCTATCGGCCTAAATGTTCACAGATTATCAGTATCGGCTCAAAAAACAAAACAAAAAAAAACACACAACAATATCAGTCGATCCTTAGTTTGTGAAGCCTTTTTTCAACCTGCCATATAGGTACATATATTTTTACTTTTAACTTTAAGGGGCAAGTCCACTATCTGGTGGAATTAAAAGAGGCCGTGATGGCCTATAAGTACTAACAATATAGCCCTATCACTTTCATCCCAAGAATACCCCATGAACCATCTTCCAGGAAAAAGAAGCAGAAATCTAAGCGCTGCACGGACTGTGGATCTAAACCCCCTGAGGGGAAGAACCGGTGCTTCCAATATATGGAAGAACTTGCAGATAGACAGTCGAGCTGAAGTTTATCGCAGACTGACTTAAAAAAATAAATCAATATCCAAAGTCATTGCAGAAGATTTTCGATCAGTAGATGAGGATCCGATGGGTCCATTGAAAAGACCCACAGAAGCTTCTGTCTCTTCAGAGTCAAGTCTGCAACCTCAAGCAATGCAGGAATTGTTCTCAGAAGAGAAATCCTATAAATCTTGAAAAAAAATCTTTAGACTGCAGGAAGATAGACAAGTTAATTTATTTGGTGAGGTATACCTTCACAATACAAGAATGATCATAATTGTCTCCTTCAGATACTTGGTTTGAAGATCTGAAATCTTCCAAACCTTCATTTCTGCTGAATACAAGCAACTATAAAAGACCCAATTCATTCTGAATGGTCTACACCCATTTTATGCACCCTACAGTATGGCATACTTAAAAGCACCTATGGAAAAGACAATGGACTCAAACTTGGTAAAAACATACCTGGCTATTGGATAAGGATTATAAACAGCAGTAGGTTACTAAAAGTGAAAGTCTGGATTGATAATTTGGGATTAGACACAACCAGTTGGGTCAGCAGAGAATATATCTTATTAAATCTAGTTAAAGTCTTAAAGCTAACCACATATTGTGTAAATCAGCTCTAGATTTTACTCAAGGATTGGCTAAAAGTGCTATTCCTGAGGAATGGGCTTTGCATCAAAAGCTAATCTTTGTGTCCTACCAATCTGGGGGATCGTTTCTTTGGTAAAATGTTAAACGAAGCTATACAAAAAAAAGACAGCAGGTAAATAAAAAGGCTTTTCTTCCTCAAAGAAAGGTCATCAGGAAACCATATAATAGTTCATGGAGAAGCAAACGTATCAGAGAAAGGGCATTTTGTAACAGTAAGTCATATAAGCCGGAAAGGTAGTATTTTAGATACTCTCAGTGGATCTACCAGCAATCTACTTCTTCCTCAAGAGGATCCAGACAACCCTCTAAAACCTCATGAATACTTGAAGGTCCAGAGTGGAATAGTTGGAGGCAATCTCAAAATATTCTTTCCAGTTTGGGACAACTTCATATCGGACCACTGGGCTCTAATCATTATTCAAATCAAAGACTGTTACAGACTGGGTTTCCAAGGGTATCCGGAATCCTTCAATTTCCACTGATCAATTCTCCAGACATAAAGCAAAAGGTCATGACAGAAGTGTATTAAACAACTTTAAACAACTCATAACTAAAGAATTCATCATACACGTTCCCCCTTTAAGAAAGATATAAAGGATTTTATTCAAATGTATTCCTGGTGCCTAAGCCCCAGGGAAAGAGGAGACTAATCCTAGACTCAAAAAGAATCAAAGTCTTCCTCAAAAATATGTCCTTCAAGATCTCTTCCATAAGATGGACAATACATCAAGGAAATTAGATCACCTAAATAGATTTAAAGAATGCCTACTATGAGATTCCCATACACCAGTCTCATCCAAAATTCCTGAGATTCTTTGCTCTAGGCCAGGGGTTCCCAATTAAATATTTCCCGTGGAACCCTTTGACATAGTATACCAACATCATTGAACCCCCGAAAAAACGTTTTGCACCATAGCACAAGCCTTTTAATAAGTGGCTTTTATATTATCATTTTTAAATATTTTGCTCATAAACTGTTTAGCCTTATGAGAATCCTGAAGCTTTTGTTTAAAAAAAAAAAAAAGGCAATGTTTTTATCTTTGTACTCAGCGTGGTTTTGCTCAAAATAAAGACGTAATTTATCAGCTGCTAACGACGGTTTGACAATATTTTCTTGCAAAGTAAGCATAGTGCTTGAGAATTTCTAATTTTTTTTTTCCTGGCACGTGTGAATCCAAATGATAAGTAGCGGTCATTGTATTTTCTTTTCTTTGTTTGAGAAGATTGGGTAGTATTGTGTGCTTTTCTTTTTAACTTTGACTTGTCACTTGTCTCTGCTAATATTTCAGACCTGTTTTCTTGATGTGAAGTATGTACTTTTGTACTCCAGACAGAGAGACCGACCGTTAGCACTAATTCTCTGGAACTGTTTTGGGCATGGGACCATGTTCCTGAACCCCTGCTCTGATCTGGGTGATTTTTGGATTATGTGGTTCACCCAGATCAGGGCTATTAGGGGGTGTGACTTTTATGGGGATATGTTGTGTTTTGGGTACTTATGAGACTTTATAAATTTGTGGTTTTCATGCCTGGAGATAATTAAGTTATTCTGTACTTTACTCAATTATCAACCAAGCAGAGGGGAGGGATTGTGTGCTGTGTGTGGGAGTGTCACACATTTAATTACTGATCTGATTTGTAAGCTTTGTGTCCCTGTCCCCCACAAGGTCCATGTGGGTTTATAGCTTGCTTGGGGACTTGCATAAAAGGCCAGCTGTGTCTTCCATTAAACACACTTGTTTTACCCTTCATGAAGTCTAGGCTCATGCTTAGGGGATTGGAGAACTACATTCATTCTGGGGATTGCTATAATCACTAAACTCCCCTGAGTACCATCACTAAGCTCTTGTAAGAGCTGTTCTTGCTACGCTCTCTAGACTAGAAGAGGTCTACCTACTAGAAGCTGAATCCTGGTCTTGGGTCCAGGGTGGGTAGAGGACGGCGAGACCCTAACCAAGCTGCGGCGGTTTGTGGGGTTTACGGTGGTTATGGTGTTTCAGTGCAGTGCTTATGGTACTCACAAGTACTAGGAAGCCGCGATTGAAGGAGGTCCGTCACAGTGCCTGTTCTGGGTACTGGCAAAAAAATTGATCCCTATGTTGTCTCATGTATAGCTTTTAATTGCGTTGGAAATTCACAGAAATCCCAACACAGCCAAAAAGAACTTTTCATAAAGATCTCATGTTTAAAGAAAGAAAAAAAAAAAAAAAGCTTACAAATAACATGGCCACTTTAAAATATAAAATGGGATTTTGAAAAAATAAATACAAGCTTTTGGAAATTTCCCAGTTCTGTTTAGAACCCAAGTCAAAGATTAACAAAAGCTCTTAACAACATGCAAACAACTGACTTTTATTAGGAATTTAGAAAAGCAAACAACTGTAATTAAAACCAATATTGTACGGGTCAAATGCAGACTTAATTTTAATCTAGCAGCCAGAACAGGCTCAACAAGCTTTAATAACTATGACAAAGGCATAATATTTAAGTTAAAAACAAGCTGGAAGTGGCCCACAATTTAATTGAACTAAACGGAATGGCAAATACTTCCTTGACCAAGAAGAGGCTTGCCATTTGAAAAGTGACACCATAGGCACCCAGACCATTGAATCTCATTGAAGTGGTCTTAATGCCCCCAATCCCCTTAACTACAAATGTTTATACAGGTGGTCCTCACTTTATGTCCTACCTGTTTTACGACATCTCACACTTACGACCAGCTCTCTAGCGTGGGGATTCAAGGGATTCCCCACGTTAGAGAGCTGGTCATTGTTTGGGGAATTTTCACTGAGCGTAGATTAGAGGGATTCACTGCCTGGTCTATGTTCGGGGAATTTTCCCCGTAGATTAGAGGGATTTAAATTTCCCCGTACATAGAAAAACACACCAGAGCAGGGAATCAATCTAATTCATATTCAGAGAATGCTCCTCGAACATAGATTCAAGAGATTCCCTGCTCTGCACCGAACATAGACCTGCACGCATCCTCACTGACCAGGGTCGTAAGAACAAAACCCGGTCAGTAAGTGAGGAGTATCGGTATTGCAGGGTTAAGACTGCCACTAGTGACTGTATACCATTATGTTCTTTAACTCTGTAAAACCACACAAGACATACTCATGTTTTGCACGAGGACATCATCCAGTGTCTTCAAATCACCAATAGGAAAGCATTGATTCAATGTGGAACTCACCACCCATGCGCATTAGGATCCCCCTAGATGGTGGCAATTGAGTATGTGGAGCCAGTGCCAATAGACTTTGGTGCTAGAAAGAGGAGAGTATTTAGAAGGGTTTTTTTGGTTAACCCTTTAACTGCTATGGGGAGGGACAGAGGAACACTATAGTGTTTGGAATACAGCTGTGCATAACACTATAGAGTTCCTTTAATGTGATTTATTTACACACATACTTGTTTTGACTTTTCAAAATTATATCATAACTTTGACTGAATACACTACATACAAGCTGCTGCCTCAATATCTACTGTTTGTTCATACAGGTGTAACCAGTTTTCCTGTATTGCTTTCCAATTACCCTCACTCTATTGATGAAAGTATTGTACAGCAGTGTAAATTCCACATTCCAGTGCAGCTGAGGTGAAGTGCCACAGGTTTCGTCAAATCCCGTAGAGCCTTGGCTACATATGAACAGTAGTGGTCGTCATGTTACATTAAGCAAGGCTCAGAATTTCAAGTACTAAGTAGCCAAATGTAAGATGTAGTCCTGGCACGTGGTCCTTAGCCCTTCCCTGCCTTTTGTACAGTTAAAATATATATATATATATATATATATATATATATATATATATATATATATATATATATATATATTATTTTTTACTTCCTATCCAGTTCGCGTTTAAGGAATAATCCCACATCCGTAACAACTTCAGCTCAGTGAAGTTTTTAAGGCGGCAGGAGTATCCGGGAGCCACCTTACCTTTAAGAGTTAAGTGCCAACACCTCTGCTTACTTATTAATTCCTCTTGTACCATTTTTCTCAAGAATAACCTCAGGGCTGAAACTTTTAGGGTAAGAGTGTCCCTACAATGGAAATGGTCTGCACTCTAATTTGATATGCTCTGCCCAGGAACACTTCTTCCAGCATGGTAAACTTCTCAGTGACACCGACACGTTGGCATCACTGCCAGTACAGAGTAGCATCAGTCACACTGCTTCTATACTACTGTAGCCAGTGCTAGAAGTATTAGGTTTATGAGGAGGAGAACACCCTGTAAGAGTGAGTTACAACCTGGGGCAGCACATATTCTGAATTCAGCCTCTCGACCATTATTAACATGTCAAGAGAGAAGCTTGGGAGAGAAAGTGATTGTATCACCTCAGCACCTCTCCTGGCTTATCAACGAAGGGAGAGAATTTTTTTTCATGGCAGCTACTGTCAAAGTATTTTACTCACCAGTCTATAACCAGGACATGTGTATGTCATGATGCAGCACTGATATCTGGGGTCCTCTACTGCACTGTCCGTCACACCGCCACGCCCTGCCAGTCAGTGTGATCCCATGCCCACCACCCCCTTCCAGTCAGTGTGTGATCCCCCTGCCAGTCACATTTATCCATCTTTGTCTACCAAGTGTATCATGTTTCCTTCCTGCGATGTCCATTCAGTGAGTGTCAGATGCCCTTTACATGTGACCTGGTCTCACGGTGTCCGTACACAGACTCCCCCTGTCCGCCATTAAGGGGACACTGTACTCACTATAATCATTTCATCTCTTTGACTTGGTTATGATGCCTGAAATCTCCTGGCATAAACCATTTTAGAGCTGTTTAACACTAAATAAGGGATTGAGGCCACCCACAGTCCGGCCTCTTCTGGAGGTGTGGCCAAGGCAGAGATTACTCACTTCCTTGAAGTCATACCCTTCAGTTAGTTGGAGCTCTGAAAACAGACAGCTGACACTCTCAGCCAATCACAGCTGCCCATTGCTGCTCATGCTAGTACTTCCTCATTGCCAAAGCAGCACAGAGGGGAGGGGCTGCTGGGGTCTCTAATTTAGCATTGAAACATAAAAATATGGAAAACTGTATAATGCTGAATGAAATTACGGAACTTGGGAACTCTGGGCACTATAATCAGTGTAATGAAATGAAGCAGATACAGTGCATACAGTGTCCCTTTAAGACTCCCATTCCCTCTCTGTCTCCCTCCCTGTGTCTCCCTCTCTGTCTCCCATTACAGCGGGTGCTGCTCTCACCTCGGCTCGCGCGGCCGGCTCGGGTTTCTGCGGCAGTGGGGGCTCCCGGTGGTTGCCGTCCTCCTCCTGAATGGCCAGGGCCAGGCCGGCCAGGCACAGCAGGCACACAGCGAGCGGGGCGGCCGGCTTCATGGTGACACCGGACACAGCTCACCGCCTGGGGGGGGGATACCGGGTGACAGCGGCGGGCAGGGCGGGGGGAGTGAGCCGACAGACAGCGCCGAGTACAACCGCCTCTCCGTCAGCCCCGTCACCACTTCCCTGCCATCTCCAGCCCCGCCAGGCCGCAACGGCTGACGTCAGCAGCACGCGGCGCGCTGATTGGCTCCGCCAGCGACCGTTCGACAATCAGGAAGTGACGCAAAGCACTCCGTGCTAAACACTAGAGTCGGTGACAAGTGAGCCGGCAATGTGTCGCCAGCATGGAGTGTAGAAAGGAGTAACCGGTGGGCCAGAGCCCAGAGGACACTAGGAAGTCCCTGTAAGTCTGTATGATCTAAAGTTTCCATTTATTTATTTAGTATCTCTAAAAATAGAATGATAATAATAACATAAATAATAAACGTTAATAATGTATTTACACAAACATATCCAACATAAACTCATGAACGAGAGGATACAATGAAAATGAACCATATAGCCCTCAATGGGTGTAGATAGTAAAGGCAGGCTACTAGAATCAGATTAAATCAATGCATCATGTAGCTTCAGAATCAGAAATAGCATCCACTATTCCAACCCATTAGATATGAATGGAGAGCAGAAAGTCAATATAATACCCCACTCCCTCTAGCATGTAAGCTCATTGAGCAGGGCCCTCAACCCCTCTGTTCCTGTGTGTCCAACTTGTCTGGTTACAACTACATGTCTGTTCGTCCACCCATTGTAAAGCGCTGCGGAATTTGATGGCGCTATAGAAATAATAACGTAATAATAATTCAAGCTGTCCATATATGTATGGGGTGGATTAGCTAAACCACTACAATCACCAGATCTGCCCTCTATATGAGGAGACATTTTATGGAGTGACTCTTTGATTTAACATTTGGACTAACTTGATAAGCAGGACGAGACTGTATAGAAGTGTTGGATTGATAGGTCACTTTATATAAAACGCCCCTTAAGTTGATACTTAAGCTCAGGTACCCAATTATAGTAACTCATGCAATTCTAGCGGGCTTAACAATAAGAGTGGGTGCCAGATCTTATATTATATTGACTTTCTGCTCTCCATTCATATCTAATGGGTTGGAATAGTGGATGCTATTTCTGATTCTGAAGCTACATGATGCATTGATTTAATCTGATTCTAGCAGCCTGCCTTTACTATCTACACCCATTGAGGGCTATATGGTTCATTTTCATTGTATCCTCTCGTTCATGAGTTTATGTTGTTATTATCATTCTATTTTTAGAGATACTAAATAAATAAATTGAAATTTTAGATCATACAGACTTACAGGGACTTCCTAGTGTCCTCTGGGCTCTGGCCCACAGGCAACTCTTTTCTACAAGCTTACTATTTGAGGGTTAACCCCTATTTTGTCTCTGAAAACACACTCTAATCCCATTCCTTGGGAACTAGTTATTTTCTTTCATCAGTATGGAGTGTAGATACAACCAACAGGGGGACTAGGCTTTACTAAGAAATCCATTCTCCTCAGATGGGCGAAGGGCGGGATTATCTGATATAATGCATGGCTAATGTCCTTAACGGGACTGGAATGATATTCAGGATGTAAAAACAAACTGAATCCAGCCTAGTGTGGTACACTACGAGCAGGGGGGTAACCCCTAATAGAAATAAACGGTACACCTGGGAATTGTGTACCAGAAGGAGGTATTGGGAGGAAGCAACAGGTTCTATGCTAAATAGTTACCAAAAATATAGGAGTCTAAAGCACGAGTATAAAAAGACCTAAGGTAAGAAAACAAAAAAGGATTTATTGTAGAAACTTAAATTCTAAAAATTGCTGATGGCAATAACCCAAAGTGCTTCACCAAAATACCAAGGTAAAGAAACAAAGCAAAAATGGTGAAATAGGTGCTGTAGAAAAAGTGAATAATAAATTAAAAGGAAAAAATATATATAAATAATTAATGTATCGATACAGTATAAAACTTCGATACATTAATTCTTTATATTTTTTCCTTTTAATTTATTATTCACTTTTTCTACAGCACCTATTTCACCATTTTTGCTTTGTTTCTTTACCTTGGTATTTTTGTGAAGCACTTAGGGTTATTGCCATCAGCAATTTTTTTTTAATTTAAGTTTCTACAATAAATCCTTTTTTGTTTTCTGACCTTACTTGTGCTTTAGACTCCTATATTTTTGGTAACTATTTAGCATAGAACCTGTTGCTTCCTCCCAATACCTCCTTCTGGTACACTATTCCCAAGTTTACCGGATATTCAGGATGTCCACTACAATGTGACAGTGGTTATGGTGCCGACAGCATGTGGCAGTAGTTATGGTGCCATTAGTACTTTGTATTTGCGTTTCAGCTAATTATGTCCAAGCTTGGTATGAAGCTGGTGACAGTTAACTCCTCAGTTGTTATGGTGCCAGGAGTCTATGGCCCCAGAGGGCTTATGGCACCATAACAACTGAGGGCTGCAGTGGTTAGAGCGCCCATTAAAAAGTTTTTAAGGAGGTGGGGGGGGGGGGCTAACTTGTTTCTTTTAACAGAAACACTATAGTGTTCAGAATACAAAACCGTATTCATAACACTAAAGGAAATATAATGAAACTGCGATTTTTTTATATTGCAGGGCTGAGGGGTACAGGGACACTGTACCCAGATCACTTCAATGAGATAAAGTGGTCTGGGTGTCTATAGAGTTCCTTTAAGGAGACCGTTTCGGTGTCCTAAAAGAAACGGTCTATATCACATATCTCGTTCATCCATAATCACACTGAGTGACATTAAGAGTGCTGCTTCCTTTTGTTTTAATCTGAATATATATATATATATATATATATATTATATATATATATATATATATATATATATATATATTTTTTTTTTTGTTCACAAAGTTGTTGCTTCAAATTTATAAAAAGGAAAAAGGTTGCTGAAGTGCTTTATGGGCGAGGAGTACCCTAGTTTAAACCCAATTTACAAAAGTGCAGATTTTTATGAGAAATCAGCACTTTTAGAAATTAATTAGGGAGCCCCCACTGGCTGTCAATCAAACAGCCAGGGAGGATTCCTTACTATTTCCGTTAGCTTCCCTGAGCTAACGGACGGAAGTGACATGCACGCTCTACTTGGGCACTCTCACAGACCTCAGACCTGCTCCTCAGCTCCAACCGTTTGCATGTGCACTTGGGCTCCAAGTCGGTTGTTGTGCTTCCAGGGAGTGCTTCTTTAAGTGCACCTTTTTCTAGACAAAATTTTCCACAACTGCATGTGTGACAGATATTCTGTGACAAGTAAGCAGTTTTCAGATTCTCCCTTTCTGTATAGACTAAAAAGGCCTTTAAATTGTGAATGGTTTTTTTCCCCCCAAGTAATATCATCCTTTTATTGTGACTGCAATGATGGGTAAAATCATCAGGGGGAAAAAAAGGGAGAAAAAAATCCAAGAGGAACAAAAAGTGCCAGAAAGACTGATTATTTCACTGTTTACAGAAAACTCAGAGAGAGAGAGAAAAAAAAAAAAAAGGCTTCAGTGTATAAAGGTGGAAAAACGCGTTTAAACTTAAAATGGCACAAAATCAGCACAATTAAGGGCAAAAGTGACAATTTGTATACAGAACTCCCTCAGAGCCAGCATTTTGTCAGGGATCACCTAAATGCAATTGAAACTTAACATATAGTACATATACATCTATGGTAATGGCAAAATTGTTATGTCCTGTACCTTTTTTGAGTGATGAGCAGCAGCAGGTTTTAGAGCCGCAGCAAGTTTTGCAAGGGCACAGAGACAAGTAACCGCTTTGTACCATAAACTACACAATAATAACATCTTTAATGCCTCAAAGGTACACTATAGGCATCCAGACCACTTAAGCTCATTGAAGTGGTCTGGGTGCACTATCCCGGTCTATTTAACCCTGCAATGGTAAATATTGCAGTTAAGAAATTGCTATAATTACCTTGCAGGGTTAACTCTACCTGTAGTCGCTGTCTACTTTTGGTTGGTTGCGTTACTGACCTTGGACGTACTCAGGCTCTGCATCTAGCATTGGCTAAAACCCCATGGTTTGTATTTATGTTATATAGGGTCCTATTACAAAAAAAGACTCACTGCATTACGTTTGAAGCATGCATGTTTCAAACAGAGTTCTTCTATGGAGCAGGCTGGCTTGTAAACACAGCAGATCTTCAATTAGCTGTAATGTTCACAATAGTCTCATATATAAACGTCCATAGTCCCCTTAAAACCAAAAATGCCATATTTGATGTGGGCAAAAAAAGGTGGAGTAAAAAATAGGAGTCATCATTAGTAAAAAGAATAAAAATATGTAGAAAACATTAAATCATTATAAAAGCTCCATATCTCTAAAAATACAAATATATTTTAAAAAAGATATATATTAAAATATATAAGAAAATATATATGTTTAATATGGAAGCGTGGACAAAAGGACTTCTTAGAAAAGAAATATAAAACTTCATATAAATTCCACTAAAAATTGTAGATTGTAAAATTGTACTTATTTCAAAGTGTTAAGACCCTTTGGAATTAATATCTGAAGTTCAAAAATCCATTTTATTTCTTGTCTACTAAGTTTGTGTGCAATATTACCACCTCTCCAATGGATACTAACCTTTTCTATAGCATGAAACTACAAAGATTTTGAATCCGATCCATGTTTTTCCAAGAGTGCGAAAAATCCCTAGAGGCAATTTTAGACAGAGAGAGGAAAGACCTAAAACTTCAAAATATCTATCTATGAATAGGAGAGCTATCATTCAGAAAGAAGAATTTTATGAAACTTCTAAGAGAAAACCTCAATATCATAAACCTACATACACCCCCAGACAGAAAAAAGAGAGTAATAGAGAGCCCAGAGAAAAAAAAGATTTCCTTCAACAACAAATGCATGGAAAGGCCCCAAAACTACTAACAAGAGATGAGAAAGAAGTGAATATAGAGTTTCAAAAAAAGACGATTACCAACATTCTTTTCAAATTCCATAAAAAAAAATATTTGAAAGTCGGAGAAATGACAGAAGGGATGAGGAAGTCTTTTAAGAACCAAGAAGGGGGCTGGCCAAGTATTGAGAACCAAAAAGGAGGATGGTTGACTATGTAGAAAACAACCCAAAAAAAAGGTTAAGAAGGTCAGAAGAGGAACACGAGGAGGGAGAGTTGTATGTAAAAAGAAGAAA